GAACCTTGAGGTACGCCAGATATTACATTTGTAGTCGAGGAAGGGTGACCTCCGATGACTGTGTATTGGGATCGATTAGTGAGGAAGGCTTGTATCCATGACAGTATGAGCGGGTCTAGATTAAGGGAGGAAAGTTTAAGCATAAGTCTTTGACTAGGAACGCGATCGTACGCCTTAGAAAAATCGAGAAAGATGACATCTGTTTGAAATGAAGAGTCGAGGTTTAAGTGGAGGTCCGTTATAAACTCAAAAAGTTGTGTTTCAGAGGAAAAACCTGAGCGAAAGCCATGCTGATATTTAAAAAAGAAGGAGTTGTTTTCAAGATGGGTTACCATATTAGAGTATATTATGTGCTTAAGCAGCTTACAAGGTATAGAAGTTAAAGAAATCGGACGATAATTTGAAGGAACGGACCGATTACCCGCTTTAAATATTGGAGATATGCTGCCTAGCTTCCAGTCATGCGGAAGTGTACTGTCTTTTATCGTTTGGTAAATATCATTTCTGATATTTTGCTGGAACACGTTAGCATACCTTTAAGTATTTTAGCTGTGATTTTATCTGGTCCCGAGGCACAAGATATTTTTTGTTTTTCTATTAGTTTAGCGATGCCCAAGGCAGTAATGCTAATCGGAAGCATTTGGGAGAAATGTTGGAAGAGTAAATCGGGGCTATCAAAGTTACTTTCATGGGTGAAAACGAACAGAAAAAATGTATTCATGATGTCAGACCGTTGGTCTTGCGGTACCTCCGAACCATCGGAATTTCTCAAAGAAATTGTATGTGTGTGGTTGTGTTTCAAGGTTAGGAGATTCCAGAATTTACGGGGGTTAACGCGTAAAACGCTTAACATGTCATGGTGATAAAACTTTTCTTTAGAGCGTCGCAGAATACGCGTGTAATCATGAAGAGACTTGAAATATTTAGACCACTTTGCTGTAGTGGTGCGGCATTTTGCCTCTCGAAAGAGACGTTTCTTCCTTTGCGAAAGTCTTTTTAAGGCATTAGAATACCACGGTTGACTGGAATTGCCACGAATACGAATGAGGGGAACATACTTTTCAATTAGCTCTTGAATTTTATGTTTGTAAAGTAGTCAATTTTGTTCAACTGTCCTCTGGAGGGCGGAAACCTTAAAAAAGCTGTAGAAGTTTTCAACATAGGTGTTGATGCAAGTGAAGGTAGCTTTTTTGTAATCTCGAATATATTTTATCGAAGGTAATCGACGAAGAATCGGAATGCGCATGTCGAACAGAACAGTTTTGTGGTCGCTTAGCCCATTTATGCACGATAACGATTGAATGAGATCAGGCTTCGAAGATAGAACCAAATCAAGAATATTACCACCACGTGTCGGTATATTGACCGCTTGGGTGAAATTGAACATTAGTACGAAATCCAGAAAAACTTTGGAATGACGGGATAGTGCGGACAGGTTATTCCAGTCGATGTCGGGAAAATTGAAGTCGCCACATATGAAGTAATTGGCACGAGGAAAGCGACAGTAAATATCAAGCATGACGGAATGAATGTCATAAATAAACGAGATATCGGAGTCGGGGGCTTGATAACACACTATAGGTATGTTTACACAAGAAGGAAAGGATATATTTATGCAAAGAATTTCATGATTAGTGTCAATTTTAACATGGAAGGAAGGCAAAGCACTTTTGTCAAAGATTAGGACACCACCACCCCTACGCCTGGTCCGGTCAAGTCTGTACACGTGGTATGATGTGTTATCCTGTAGTAGTTCTTCGTCATTAATCGAAGAAGTTAGCCATGTTTCAGTTAGTATCGCAAAGTCGATGGCATTATCCTCCAAGATGGCCTCAAAAGCTGCCCTCTTGGGAAGATAGCTTCTGAAGTTCGCAAGTAAAACTGATGCGGAATCGTAAGTAGGGCTGCGGTCTTTGGGTACAGGTAAGGGTGCTCTGGCGGGAATCTTGGAAGCCAGCCGTGGCTGCTATGGTTTCTGTTCGATCACGGAATCGGATACCGCTTCATAGATATATTTTTTATCTCCTATGCTTAGTTTATTAAAACATATTTTGAAATCAGCTTTTGTTTGTTCGCCAAACTCGTAAAGTTTACTGCCGGCAAGGCGTACACATGCAGAGTAGTCTTCCCGGATCGCGAAATCCGTGCCTTTCAGTTTAGGACCAGCAGAGAGAATTTTGGATTTGTCTTTAAAACGGCCTAGCTTGGCGATAATTGGGCGGTACTTACCTTCCTGGTAGCGGCCTATTCTATGGGCTCTTTCAATGGCTGTAGGAGCGATAGATACTTTGAGCTTCTCGGAACAGAAAGAAACTACGCTTGTTACCGACTGGGGCCAGGTTTCGTTCTTAATGTCCGGTATTCCAAAAAAAAAAAAAAAAAAGCAAATTATATCGTCTAAAGCGGTTTTCGGAATTGTCACATTTGTCGGCTATAGCTTTGATTTCACATGATAGTTCCTGAACGATTGCGGTGGCTTTGGTACCGGTACTGCCATCAGGAGATGGGGAAGTACCGATTATCTTGTCTAAAGTGTCAACACGACAGGCAATACTGGGAAGAGGGGAAGTTCTGGACTGGGATAAAACAGCTTTGTGGATGCTGTTTAGCCCCCTACATTAATACATTAATACAGCTACATAACTTCCAGAATTGCAACATTATTTGCAGCATCATAACATGAAAAGTCACCATTCTGTCTGCTATCATGGTCAAGTTTGAAGTTCTTGCTTGTATCATATATTTCTCATTCGTGCCATTGTCATCAAATAAAATTTCCTAGTCATGTAGAGTAAAAATTCTTTAAATATCATGTTTACATAAGCCATTAACCGCTTCAGCCTATTTAATCTTCACAGAAGTGTTGCGCTTTCGTGCTCTGCTTCTACTTGAAGCAAACATGGCTGCCAGGAATGGAACCCATGTCGTCAGGCCCTGCAGCGGAAGGCTGTAGTCACAACTCCTATCAGTTCATACAAAAAAAACATATGCATGAGAACACACATGCATATACACATGGGCACACACACGCACACACAAGGAGGGTACCAGAATCTTGGAAGAATGCGAACATAATCCTTCAGAAAGGGGTCATCAAGGCACCAAGAATTACAGGCCAGTCTGCTTACTGTTCGTTGTCTGCAAGCTATTCACAAAAATAATAGCTAATAGAATTAAGAAGACATTAGAGTTCACTCAACCAAAGGATCAAGCAGGATTTCGTATAGGCTACTCAACAATTGACCATATTCATACTATCAATCAGCTGACAGAGAAATGTGCAGAATACAACCAACCCTTATACATAGCCTTCATAGATTTTGAGAAGGCATTTGATTAGGTCGAGATATCAGCAGTCATTCAGGCACTGCAGAATCAGGGCATCGACAAAGCTTTTATAAACATACTGGAGGAAATTTACAGCTGATTCAGCCACCATAACCCTCCATAAAAAAAGTGATAGAATCTCATTAAAGAAGGGTGTAAGGCAGGGAGACACAGTCTCTCCAATACTATTCACCGCGTTGTAACAGAAGGTTTTCAGGGGCATCTTAGTTACCTGCAATTCACTGATGACATCGTATTGATGAGTAACTCAGGGGACGAATTACAGCTCATGATTACTGAACTGGACACTGAAAGCAGAAGAGTAGGTTTGAAAATTAATATGCACAAAATAAAAGCAATGTGCAACAGTCTTGGCAGAAAATAGCACTTTGCGATAGGTGGAGAGATGCTGGAAGTTGTACATGAATATGTCTATTTAGAACAGGTAGTAACCGCGGAGCCGAACCGTGAGAGTGAAATAACTAGGAGATTGAGGATGGTGTGGATCGAATTCGGCAAGCATTCTCAAATCGCGAATGGTAATCTGCCACTAACCCTCAAGAAAAAAGTATATAATAGCTGCATCTTGCCAGTACTGACCTACGGAGCAGAAACATGGAGGCTGACAAAGAGGGTTCAGCTTAAATCGAAGATACGCAAGGAGCAATGGAAAGGAACATGATAGGTGTTAACTAAGAGACAAAAAGAGAGCAGGGTGGGCCGGGGAACAAACCGGGGTTAAGGATATCATAATTGAAATCAAAAAGAAGTAATGGACATGGACCAGGCACGTAGCACATAGGCAGGATAACCGCTGGTCATTGAGGGTAACTGGCTGGATTCCCAGAGAAGGAAAACATGTAACATGGACACAGAAATGAGGTAGGCAGATGAGATTAAGAAGTTTTCAGGGGTAGCGTGGGAGCGGAAAGCATAGGACCGGGTCCATTGGCAGAACATGGGAGAGGCCTTTGCTTTTTAGTGGGCTTAGTTAGGCTGATGTAAATATGCAGGTCGGTGAAAATATGCATCGCGTTTTGGCCACCAGTCACTACAATTTAAAATTTACGAAGCACTAAACTGACATTTACTATGAACTAATAAACCATCTATCTATAGAGAGATGTGCTAAGGTAAACTTAGAAAATTTTCTCCCAGTTTATTCACATTGAGTGCTTTTTTTAGTGTCCTTTGAAAGAATATGTCACAAATCAATGCCATAGTGCAGAACAGCTAACCTACATGTCATGTCTTTTTTCCCCCTTTCACTTGCGTGTTAATCATTGGTGATGGCACATACTGTAAGAATTCAGCTATTATTGTGATGCTTTCATGTGGCCAAACTTGCAGAAACTCATCCACAGGTCAGGCAATCGAATCCCGGCTGCGGGGGCTGCACTTTTGATGGAGGTGAAAATGCTTTAGGCCCTTGAGCTCAGATTTCGGTGCACGTTAAAGAACCCCAGGTGGTCAAAATTTCTGGAGCCCTTCACTGCGGCGTCTCTCATAGTCATATGGTGGTTTTGGGACTTTAAACTCCACATATAAATAAATCAAATCAAATCAAACTTGCAGAAACTGTATCTTTCTAATGTGAATACTCTATGTATGTTAACTTTCATCTGCTGTACGGAAACTAATGTATGTTGCAATATTTTTCTTTCTTTTTTTAGGTATAGCACGCCTGAAAGGTACATCATTGAGCCAGCAAATTCGTCAGATAAGAGCCTTGTTATTGACAGGGTGTCCCGGGAGATCTCCCTGTCAGGTAAGCCTGTGTATGCATGTTTGCATGCTTCCATCCATACGCATGAACTGAAACGCAGGCTTTCTGTACTTATGGGCCATAATCTGCCTTGTTGCAGACTGCTCATGTATTTTGAGCTTATGTATTCGAAGAAAGAAATGGCCGATATGAATATGAATATTCAATGTGTGGATGGCTAGCTGGCAGTGGTACATGCTCACTGTCAGCAAATTTGCCTGCGTAGATGCAGAGCACACACATGAAGACAAGCTTGCTCACTGCCATAAAGTGTACAGTTGATATTGGAGAGCACGATGATGGACTATATTTTATATGAATTCTGTCCCTCTTTAGTGTCTGTTTAAATTTGCTTGCACATCACTGCTGTATGACACATGTCATAATTGGTGCCGGGCTTATGCATCAAGTTCGAATTTTCGCCGTCGCACCGCGGCGCACGCCCCCCATAGCTCGCTTCTTCCGATGCAAGCACGCGCGTAGGGCGAAAGTTTGGCAATCGCAGCCTCTTTGTGACGCGTAATAAAAAATTTCAGGACCCCGGGCGCAGTGGTCTAGTGGCTAAGGTGCACGGCTGCTGACCCGCAGGTTGCGGGATCAAATCCCGGCTGCGGCGACTGCATTTCCGATGGAGGTGGAAATTTCGTAGACCCGTGTGCTCAGATTCAGGTGCACGAATTTCGAACCCCAGGTGATTGAAATTTCTGGAGTCCTCCACTACGGCGTTTCTCGTAAGCATATGATGGTTTTGGGACGTTAAACCCCACATATCAATCAATCAAACAAAAATTGCAGGACTTGTGTGCTGTATAAAAGCAAAAAGTCATTGACTGATGCAATTGGGCTATTGCCTCTTTTATTCTAACACATACATAGTACTGCGAGGAGATGCACATCGCCACAAGACCGTTCACTGATGCCATACGTTATGTTTTGCTATGCACTGGTAATTTTCTCTTGGGGATGGTTTTTAGCAAAAAAGACAAACAAAATAAACACGAGCGCTGATAACTCACTTCGCGTGTTGTACTGTGGCTGTTTCTTTCTCTCTTTTTGTTTTCTTTCTTTTTTTTTTTGCTACAAACCATCTAGAGCTCGTGTCTATTCTGTCTACGTTTTTCGCTCTGCAAACTGTCCCTGATTACCGATTCGCTACAATCTTTATTTTCTTTATCTGTGTAGTCGTGTATTTTTGGAAAAAAAAAACGTAATTTGTGTTAGCAGGATCGAGCAGTGACCTATTTTCATTATGCAATTGTTGTATGCATGTTTTAAACCTGAAATTACATTTTTTTATATGGAGATCAAATAGTTCTGCCAGTATTTTTGTGTATCATTGGTATCTGGAGGTGCCCCTCCTTACAAAGAAAAAATGAAGAATTTTCCGAAAACTCCTTTCATTTAATGCTCGCGAGTCCGGTTCTCATACAACAGCTCAAGGCTGTCCAGAAGGCCCACGATGCGGCGGTGAGGCTGGGCCTCCCCGTCCCTACGTGGGAGCGGCTCGCGATCCTACCCCTATAAAATGGGGATGGAATCCTTCAGGACTCCAATAAAAGGTTTTCATCCATCATCCATCCATCCATTGGTATCTGGCATTTACTTTTCCACTTCAACACAAGACGAAGGAGGAAGATATTAGGTGACCTTAATAAGGTGTTCTAGGTACAACTGGGCTAAACACCTTGTAGTGCATAAGGTTCTTGACATTATGTATAGAATTGAGGTGAACATAGTAACTTCTTTAGTTTAGCTGCTGGATTAGCCAGAAAACAGTGTGATGCACCAGAGCCACAGTCGGGATGGTGGAGGGGGGGGGCAGACAAAATCCCTTGAGGATACATGACACTTTATTTACAAAGACGTGAGTCAAAGCCTTGATTTCTAGTATTTTCACTTCTTGCAAAAAGAAAGCATGTGACTTCCTTCAAATTGCGGCAGCACACGAAATATTAGCACTTGGAATTCTTCAAGGTGCGCCAAAACCTTGCTACACAAACTTCTAGCTGCCGCCTCCATGTAAATGCGGCCTGAAAAAAAAAAAACAAGAAGAAAAGAAAAGAAAACTGCTACAAAAAGAAGGGGGGGGGGGGGGGGGGGGGGGGGGGGGGGGGACAGGTGAAGTTCCTTTACGTGAACTTTAATATATCCACATGAACCTTCAGCTGACCAGAAAAAATAAAAAACAAGCAAACAAAAAGTGGTTCTTTCATGTTATGCACAGGAAAAATATTCAGAAGAGTTAGCCTGTATACCATAACAGCTCCGCTGTAAGAATATTGTTCGAAGTACGAGAGACCAGCCAAGTTTTCTAGCACGATAGCATATACTAGCATTTATGATGTTTGAGCCACAGAGCTATGCTGTAAGGTAGCTGCCACAGTACTTTCGTATTCGCGTGGAAATGATTAAAAAAAGCATACCTGCACGTTGTAGTATTTCATGACAACTTGGAAAACACTATTTGGCAAGCTTGCATGCAACCTAGATGAAATATTCTGCGCTAACAGCCTCTGTTGCCCAAATTGGCTTTTAAACGACCACTAAAGTTGCATGCAAAAGGAAGGAGTAACTTTTTAATAACATACCTGAACTTCTTTGCAGCTGTAGCAAGGTGATGGCCGTTCACTGCGTGCATTTAACGCGTCTCAAATAGGTAACAGCGTGCCAACACGGGCAATGTTGTCACTGCAATGACTGAAATCGCACGCTGCGCCAGGCAGACCAGCACCACTCAACTCATGGGGAAAGATCGCCATCTCCCAGCGCCTTCAGGAAGCCACAAAATTACACTTCTCCGCTGGGCGATGCATTGAATGGGATGGACATAGCAACTGCGTGCTGCCGTCTAATGTCGGAGGCCATGGCAGAACATTGTTCAGTGGCCATTGTTGCTGCTGCAGTTCCCACTGCTTTTGCTTATGCTGCTAACAGTGTCAGAGGCTGCACAGTAAAGACTGGCAACATTGGACACAGCAACACTGACATGAGAAAGACCACTTTCGGGCGGGTGATTTCAAGTGCGCTAACGTGATTTTATTTCAAAATAAAATAAGCTCTTTCTTGGCAGAGAAGTAGTCCTACAAGGTTTCTGGACTGCTATTTCAACAATCATCGTAGACTCAATATTTGCCTTTAGTGTCCCTTGAATTACCCCCAAAATCAAATGAACTGGGGTTAATTAATGGAAGTCTATTGTATATTAATGTGGCACGTTAAAATGCTACATGGGACTGTAAATTTTATTGATATCAATTTTTTCCTAAAGAGTCTTCTTTCAAATCATGTAGAAAATAATTGCCCTTTCTTTTCTTCTTTCCCTTAGCTAAGCCTGACATTCCTCCACACGCTGTAAAGAGAACAATTTATGGCATTGTTGGCATTATCCATCTGCTTGCAGGTAAGTAATTGCTTCACCATTTATGTCCTAGCTGTCATCACAAGGCTAAATTTTTTTGCAACAGCGTAAAAGTATTTTGGGCTTTTTCTGTGTGCACTTGAAAGATGTCGGCACTGATTTACTGTGATTTTCATTATTTTTACCCATTATATGTTTCAGGCCCGTACTTGATTGTGATTGTTGAACGGCGAAAAGTTGGTGATATCAACGGCCAAGCGGTATGGCGAATAAAAGCAACTGAAGCATATTCCTTTACAAGAACGTCATTACATCTTACTGAGCAACAGGCATGAATCATTTAATTATTCGTATTAAGAATCAATGGTTTTTGAAAATGACTCGAGGCTCTTTTCTTACCTGCTTATGTGATTTTAGTCTTGTTAAAGGGACCAACAACTGATTTTTTCCACCCAGTTTTTTCCGGTGAGACAGAAAGCTTACCCTTCGTAGTGTTTGTAGCTATAGTAGTTAATCCCAAAAGCACATAGTTACTTTATAAGTAGTATTCTTTTATCTGAAAGGCCCTGATCACGGATGTGCCCCTTTTGTCCAACAACGCTGAGAATTGATAGCGATGCCGGTAGCCTAGAGACTTGTCCGTGCTGTCATTGTTCTGCTTTCGTGGCAGTTCCTGTAACTATGCTTAGCCAAGGTTATTCTGAGCTTTACAACTATTTTTTGAAAATAACAAGCCGTTACAATGAGACGATGTGATTTTATACAGCTTCTCTGCATTTGTACAGCATTTTGTGCACCTGCGTCCAAGGTTGTTGCCCCTGCGTCATAGATGGCTTGTCCCGTTGTCGTTACTCTGTCGACACACAAGCCAAGCCAAGTTACCGAAAACTTCTCTGCACATATGTGCGGCCGTGCCGACTAGCAATACACATCATTTTTGAGAGAAATTGTGAATAGAAAAACCAGGTCGCTTCAAAATTATAGCGATTCAGAAACTTCGTGCACGGTTTCATGAGCACGCAGAAAAGTTGCTCAAGACGCGCCGACGATTACATCATGCGAAGGCAGCGCCACTTTAATGCGTACCACTAATGCAGCCATATGTGTACATTTTTAGGGACTGATATCGTATACTATAAACAAACAATATTTCAATAATAACAAGAAAATTGTTGACCGCGTATACTAGTTTGCGGTCACATAACAGGGCATGTCAGATAACTGAAGTTTCTGCCACCAGGTGGCACCACAGCTTGTTTTCGTGATTTTTAATGCAGAAATAAAAATATGACTCCACTTTTTGCGAGAAAAACAGGGTTCGTTTGAATCACTATAAGGGACAATCTTTCCATACGTGCAGTCATTTCATTTCATGTCCTGGGCAGTTGTCGGTCCCTTTAAGCTTTGCTGCCTGAACAGTCCTGTTTTGTTGTTACAGCTTTTGCTGTAATTAAGTGCATTAAACTTTCGTCTTTGCAGAACCAGTACAACAAGCAGTACACTGCTATGGTCCAAGATGTGTTGAGCACGCCAAACTTCTACTACTCTACTACTTATGACTTGAGCCACACTCTGCAAAAACTGTACAACACAACACCTGACTTCCTTCAGATGGGGCTCATGGAAAGAGTAAGTGCACTGTGTGGCCAAGCCAAGTGGATACATATTCGTGCTTCTGAATTCGCGGCATGTACTAGTTTAATAAAGATTAAAAATTCTTAGGCAGGTTGTTCATCAATTTTGTTTGCTATTCTCATTTTCTTATTTGGGTGTGATGATGGCTAAGATCACCTTTTAACAGTAACACTTACTGCATCCAATGAGGTAGAACAAGGGATTAGGAAACAAAGCAACATAAAAGTGAGGGGGGTTATGAGAGCAGTAAAAAGGGCACAGGTTTAGCACCTTCAAAAATTTTTGCTTAAGGAGAAATGTCTACATGGTGGTATAGTTTAAGGGACCATCGCTGCGCTAAGCTAATGGCAGCTTGGCCCCACCACTGGCTGGTAGCTCTATTGAGTATCGCGAAGGTGCAGTACACTTTGTGAGCCGTGCTCTTTTGACATCTTCCGCTGTCTGCGCTATGAGTTGCCGCAAAGCGAACCATTTACACAACAAAAGAGCACTGAGCATAATGCTCATTGCGCCTGCGTGGAACTCGTTGCAGCTGCCATCCTGTGGCGGCGCCAAGCTGCCGCTACATGCGCTGGTGTACCCTCCAACAGCGAACCGCTGTGTGGATAAATGACAGCAATAAAGAACTTTTGGGAGAAAAAAAAGGTTTTTGCTTTATTTGCATTGAGCCCTTATGGTTGGGGAAAAAAGAAATTCAAATAAACCCAAGGTCTGTAATGCAATCCAGCTTAAACATTGAAGCTTTTCATTATTCAATCAAGAATCGCCACAGAATTGAACTTGTACTAGTTGGAGGTTTGAGAATAAACACTAGTTATTAAACCAATGTGCAGGAGAGGTACAGCTGCACCAAGCTGTGCCAAAGTCGTCAAAAAGTGTTTTGGCTTGCACCCTACTTGCCACAAAACACTACGCAAGACCACCAAGGGTTCCAATTAAGGCCAGTTTTAGAAGGAAGCAGCAGTTAATGCCCTGTAGTTCTTTAACTTTATCTGCAATGAAAGAAAAAAAAAAGCAAAGTGCATGGAAAGGTTCATGCCAACCTAGAATGTTATTGAAAATGAGTTCTGCGGCAATCCGCAAAGTGGTGGAAGGGTTAAGAAAGGGAAAGAAGTCAACTACCCATCTGTAGCACGAAGCCACAAGGGAATCCGTACGGATCTCTCAAAGAAAAATGGTATTAGTTGCCAAAAAATTCGTCCTGGTCCGGGTTAGAGACGAATTTTTTGGCAGCTAAGAGCCTTCTTTCTGAGAAATCTATACAGATTTCCTTCTGGCTTCGTGCTACGAACGGGTGGTTCTTTGTGTGAAAGCACTGGCTCTAGAAACCTGATTACCATGAATAGCCATCAACAATGCCTAAAGCAGCAAGGGTGGCCTATCGGCTGTGTGAATCTTGGACTGCTCGACATTAGCTTTGGCCATTGGGGAATTATAGTATGCTTGTATATGTTTGAGTTATTGAGAGACTGCACGCACGTGGCATGCAATGAAACCATCTAGGCAAATGTGAACAGAGCTGCAGCTTTGCTTCCTTTGGTGTTACACGTTTCCCGCTTATGCTCGGTGAGTGAAAATTCTCATGGCATATGCACGAGCTGAATCGGAACACCTGAGCATGCCAGAGAAAAAGGTGATCAAAATAAAAACTTGCCAGCCCACATCTCATAGTGGAGAATCGTGAAGTAACTGGAGAGTCTTGTGCCTTTGGGTGTTTGAGCACCAAGAGTTGTTCGCCAAATAAATATCTTCCCCTGTGATGGGACTAAAGATGCTTTTATAGTAGTTTAAATTATGCAAGCTGCAGTTATTGGAAGTTCACTGTATGTGATAGACACATTAAAAAGACACTAAAGTCAAGTAACAAATAACGTCAGAGTGAAAGCTTAATGTAGGACTGCATCTAAAACAACCATATTATCAACAGTGCCCCATTTACCGAGAAATTAAGGTAAATGCAGAAGAACACAAGCGTCGCAGTAGGACATTTTCAAAATGATACCGATGACATCAGACGGACCGCCTACAATTCATCACTAGTAATCGATCTAACTGCACTAAATAAAGAACCTTCCGTGCATCTAGAGATGCAATAAAATTCTGCTTGTTCATTTTTTTATGATTCCTGAAAAAAGAACCACCGGACGTTACTATGGGAAATGGCGCGAGTGGTTAGAAAATTCAATTTCTGCGTGGTTACACGGAACAGGTGGTGCCATCTAGCGGGGTGCAGTTGAAATAAAAAACGTCTGCAATCTCGAAGCCAATGGCAAAAAATTTATCAATAACCGTTGTTGCTGCTGTGGCTCCTGCTGCTACTAGCGCAGTAAATCCGAGCAACGTTGTGCACGGCAACAGTGACGTGGGTCGGTCCGGTCGGTCCGCTTCTTGAGGCGGGTAATTTAAAGTGCGCTAACTCGATGCGGACCACTAAAGCGTGGTTTTATTTCAAAATAGGCCCTTCCTTGGCTCAAAAGTAACACTAAGAGGTTTCTGGACCACTATTTCAACAATCAACGTCGACTTAGTAGTTGCCTTTAGTGTCCCTTTAACAATGCTCACAACAGTGATTCGTACTTCTGAAATCAGAACTGCTTGAGTTGATCTTAAAAAGGATGGAACTTTGTTAAAAATGTAATTACTCATTTCATTAAAATTCCTTAGATTTTGGTTGTTTGACTCCAAATTTAAATATCACTGCTCTGCAAGTGTTCTCCCCAACCACTTCACCTGCTCCTAATAACCTGCTCGAAAATGATTTCTCAGCTCCAAAAATTGCTCTAAAACGTCTTTCACTTATCCCAGCTTTGAATTTATGAAGTTTTATTATTATTATTATTATTATTATTATTATTATTATTATTATTATTATTATTATTATTATTATTATTATTATTTTTGCAGTGGTTTAGGTATTTTTCATGTTTTTTGGATTTTTGGAACTTAGATGTCATTTTGAATGGTCACGTGATGGTGAATTATGTGATATGCAAGAATACTGGCTCATAAAACTACAACCAGGTGTTTATTCACAAAATTGTGATTTGTTCTGATATTACCTGTCCTAAAAAAATGCTTGACTAATCGTGTCAGAAGAAAATAAAAAAATTGTTCAGTTAGAGGTTATTGAGAGCAAAGGAAGACATGTGATGAAATGATGGGATAAGGTGATGACATTTTGGAAATTAGCTCTCCAACTACAACGGATGTTTAAATTGCACAAGCACAGCTTTATTTGAAAATTGGCACAGGGTGGGGTGTTACTATGTGCTGGATTTATGATAATTGTTAGTTTCCATACATTCACTTGTCAGCATGTAATGACAACAATTATGAGTGAATATTATGCAAGAATAGAAGGAAGACTTTAAAGCAAGGATGGCTTTGCAGGCTAGTTGGTATTGCATCAGCGCTTTATCTAGTATTTTTCTTCCTTTGGCCCCGTCTATGCGTGCCGTAATGTTTCCAAGAATTTGCAAGTACTGATAGCTTATTTCATCACTTTTGAGTGAATCATATTTCATGTGTTATCATTTAGCAGCTGCTTAGCAGAAGGTTGCACAGATTTTCTTTAATCTACTTACTTTAATATTCGTCTTTATCAACAGGCAGATCAGAGATTTGTGTGGAACCACCATTTGATGAGTGAGTTCAGCAACCAAGTAGAGGTACGTTGGATTCGCCACTAGTACTTAAATGTCACTTACAATTTTGTTTTTTTTTTTTTTTTGCTCTCCTGCAGCTGCGGAAGTTCTGCCTTCCAATAATTCATGGATGTATCCTTTCGCCTTGTGAGCAACTCTGTCGTGTATGCTTTTATTATCAACTTTTCTTAGGGCATGTTGCAGAAATACGTTATTGGAGAGGAAGAAAGTGCTAATTGTGTTGCAGTAAGGGTTTAGTGTAGGTTACAGTTTTTACAGTGTGCTTACATGCTGTGGAATACTTAAAGTTTTGTCCGGTATCTATTGTATCAAGGAGCACATGCACCTTTATGTCACGTGAAACAGGTTTTATTATGTGCATTGCAGCGTGTGAGATCTTGAGGTGATGGGTTAATTACCTTTTGGGTAGCAAAAATGCATGAAGAGATTCAATTATGTTAGTTTTCAGCTGTGTCTTTCGAACTTCAGCTATGCAGGCAATTCCCAAAGTGATGCTCCTTGACTAACCTGCAGTTATTTACATCAAGCCATGTGCCATCAACGGTCATGGTTTCACATTTGCACTCATTTCACGCCGCAGTTGCTATAGGGCAGGCACACGCATGTTCATGAGGGGCTTGGACAGTGAAGGTCATGCTGCGAATTTTGTTGAAACTGAGCAGATCGTAGAAGGAGACAGTGCACGGAGCTCGTTTGTTCAGGTAGGACACCTGCACCACCTTCTTCTTGTCGTTAAGATATGCACCTCATATCTTACGCTTTTGTAGATGTCCAGTTCTTAATAGCAGCTGGTGATATTTCGTGAAACTTTTGAGAGTGTGACAAATCTATTTCCCTTTTGTTTAAGCATCAAAACTTTATTTGAAAGGATCCTGGACCACCCCTTATGCTTGGTGAAAAAAGGCATATTGCAGAAATGCACTGCTGTGAACAGCTCAGCCAAATCTTGCACTTGGGCTAAACAGTAAGAGCTTACAGGCAATACTCAAGGTTATCACTTTCTCCAGGGCCCGCTCCTCGCACAAAGGCATGTCTTCGCCCTCATCGGAGGTGCCGGCACCAGCTCTGATCCATCTTAGAGCAGATTGCTGCTATTGGCCAGTAGCTGAAATAAATCAAACGTGGCATTTGGATCAGATACGATTCTTTGTCATAGGGTGCCACCACATGGTAGTGCTAACATTGCACAGTAGCAAAACTCGCACGCACTGAAATTGCACTGGGTGTGAACTAAGGCATTTCATGATACACTCTGAAGTTCATGATGTGCACTGACGTAGCTTCTTGACCTTTTGTCAATACCCACAGTGTAGCTTTTAGTACACTGACCTGGACAAAAGAAGCGAAAAAGCACTTGAAGCGTTTGACTAGTCCCTGTAACTCTGCTCAATGTTGACAGGTTTGAAAAATTTTGACAGCAATTTATTAACGACACTATAAACTGATGCTGAGCTGCATTCGATTACTACTAAAAAAGTGTTTCAGGGACGAGTTGATCTAGAGCATAGTAAAAGTCTTTTTTACTAGCAATCTGGCTTTTTTTTTTCATTTTGATTTATCAGTTTGCTTGTATTTAAAGATATTTATTGTTTTGGTACATGATTTTTTCACTTGTTGCAGTATGAGTAACATGCAATAGATTTATAGGATTTGGCAAAGTGAGACATTAGTTATATAAGTAATTAAAGGGGAGGCATAAGAGGTCACTGTATGATGTCACTTTTTGCTATGGTCTTTCAACTTTGCTTTCAGACAAGGGGCTCAATTCCTTTGTTTTGGTCCCAATTGCCTAACCTGAGGTACAAGCCTTCTCCAACCCTGACTACCGGGCTCAACCATGTGAGTGTTGTGCTGGTTTTTATTTTTCATACAAAGGTGTTTTTTCTTATGGAAATATGTATGTAAACACGATTCTTTGATCTTTCCAGCTTGAAGCATTCCAGAAACACTTTGACAATCAGATTTATACATATGGAAATCAAGTAATAGTCAGTCTGGTGAGTGGGAATAGTTTGCTTTGTAGTAAAGGTTGACAGAGAACTAAAAAGATGAAAGAAGTGATACCTTGGTGGTGGTCCGGCTGCGCCATTTTGCTACAATTTTTCTTCTTTGCACCTTACTGCGCCCATTCAAACACACTTGAACTACCTGTACCTAAGTTTATGTTTTGCCTGCTTAAATGGCAGTGGAGCTTTTTTGGCCCAAAATATTCTGTCTGCCACCAAATACGCATAGCTTTTTATGATGCCACGAAACTTACTCTATCTCTTTCCACCGCTCCAGTTATCCTTGTTATAATTGGCTTATAATTAAGATGTCTGCTTGTGATCTCCATTAATTTACCGTTATGAATATTTATCTCTAATCTGGGAGCTCATTCCTCGTATTGAAGAACTGTATCTAATACGTATACAAGTGATTTTTTTTGCCCAGCAGCTGTTTGTACCTCTTATGTGTCGTGCGCTGTAAGTGGCATTTCTATGCACTAGTAATTTCTGAAGCTTTACATGACAGAAACATAAGGTGATTTACCCAAATCAAAATTCAGATCTGCTAGCTTGATATTTGGCAGAAGGAGAATTCCATGTCAATCGCACTACGTGAGATTCTTTATATACGTAATCCTTGGTATTGTATTTTTGTTATATGATAGTAACATAAAGCTGAAATGCGCGAGCACACGTCTGCCACAAAGTGTTGCCGCTGCTGCTTACGTATAGCGTAGTGCTCATCCTGCGATTTCATTGCTTAACTAGCAGAAAGCGTTGGCAAACGAGCACGCATAGACACTGTGCTATGTGGACATCGACCCACCACGAGCTACTAATAACAAGTGTCTATGGTCATGTGTCTGTTACGAATTGAGACCAGATTTTACGCAAATACCTGTTTTGTTTCTTGTGTTCTTATCACCTCATTTTGATATATGAACCGGATGTAGAGGTGAAGAGGGGTGTTTATAATGTGCTTATAGTGGGCCTAAAAATGCCTATTTTAGGCCTTCGAGCCTAAATTCAAATAGTAAGATATATTAAAAAGAAAGTTGCACCAACAAAGTTTTAATTGTGTGTATAGGTTGCTGATGCAAATTAGTATTCTTGAACCCATTTTCTAGCTGAGCCAAATTTCTTTAACAGCAAGCAGTGCAGTGTTTTACAAACTAGCAAGAAAAATTCAGTATATTTGACATTAAGCTGTTAGGCATATGGTGCCGTAAAATACCAAACAAGCATCCTCCCATCATCATCAGCCTTACTATGTCCACTGCAGAACAAAGGCCTCTCCCATGATTCGCCAGTCAACTCCCATAGTGAAGGATAATTCAGCAAGATTTATAGTGGTGGGGGACTTGCTCAGCCATGGGTCAAAATTCAAGATGGCAGTGAATGAGCCACTAAGAATAAAGGTTGCACACCCATGCTTCTAATGAAATGCTTTAGTCACTACGTATACATTCACTGTTTTCTCTCGGCCTCGTTTGGTGGATAGAAGCAGTATATGAACGAGTGAAAGTGTTGGGAGGATAGAAGAGGCCTCATATTTGAAATCTTCTTAAGTAGGGAGGGGGCTCTTCATTAGCGTTTTACGGTACTCGCCGATGAGAAAGTCTGAAAAAGTGAATGATGACCACTCTTCATTGAATTCACAATTCAAAATAAGGTCATTGGTCTGTTTAGTCATTTCATTTTTTGCTTAGTTACATGGCATCAACAAGGATCACTTGGTCTTCCTTGTTTCATGATGTCATAGCTTCATGATATTCATGGTCATCTGTTCTCAATCTTGACAGAAAATCTTTGTTTCTTGACGCAGGTTTTTCTGAAAGTTTATTTAGTTAGGTGGCACCAACGATCTCAGAAGTTTCAGTTGCTGTGGCACATTTCATCTTTGGCCTTAGTGTGTTATGAGACATTGAGGGAGCATGTCTTTCATTCTTTCAAGGCTGATATGGGAAAGAAAAAAATATTTTAAGGGTACTTTACGAGGGCACATTTTGCAACCTTTCTTCTTGGCCTTGCTTGCTATTTAAGACAAGTAAAAGGGGTTAGAAAGCAGTGCATTCATTCCCAACATTTATTTTTTAGCTTTAGCTGATAGCTTAAAAGTAGCTTCTTATGTAATGCCACCATGTCTTTTTTTTTTTTACTGCAGCATGTAGGTAATTTGTGTAGCCAATGGAGAATAGGCATGTTTTAAAATTGCTACATTACACAAGACTGTTATGTTTCTTGCATGGCCTGTATCTGTGTACCACCATTCAAGACATGATCACCGAACTGAGCTGTAGCTGAGACACAAACATCTGTGCTTTCTCCAGTAATATTCCAGCACCCTTCCAGTTAATGTAGGTTCGCATTTAGGTGTAAGGGTTCTAATATGAAATTGCGGTTGCCACTGATGTAATAGAGACTCGAGGAGCTGTATACAGAAACTTGTTGACAAGTGTGTTATTGAAGCAAAATTAAACTCGCTTATGAGTGCAGATAATGAAGCACTTTTATTTGAATATGTTTATCAGTTTGTTTTTGAAGATATTCTTAAATAAAAAATTTGCACTTATTTTGGAATTACTATAGATCTTTTTAGCTCTGGAAGGAACTTGAGAAACTGACTGCCATTCGAAATACATTAGGTATATGTGTAGTTACATGCTGGGTGGTTGTATGCAGACTGAAGTGTGTGTGTGCTTGTAATTCTCTCTGTAGCATTACAATACCAGTTTCACAATGTTTTTTGTTTCACTACTGTCGCTGGTATTTTGTGATGCTTATTGAGCATCATATGAGTGTGTTTGCCATATTTGCCTTCTCTTCTTTGTAGCATCCTTGCTTAATGCTAATCTAGGTATTGTCACAGTAATGTAACATTCTTTTCTTTTACTCTTTGTCTAGATTGACCAGAACGGCCCTGAGAGGACGTTAGGAAGGCAGCTGCAAGAAGTGGTGAACCTTGCCAACAACCCGAAAATCAAGTGGGTCTACAGAAATAGCTTTCACTTGTAATCTAGTGTCTCAAGTACAGATTTTGAAGTGTTTGTCCTAATTCAGACCAAAACTATCAAAATTATATGCTTGTGTATCTTTTAATCAAGTAAAGTTGATTTGTCACACTTCAAACTTAAACATTAAACATTAAAACTACAGTTGATTTGCAGCTAGAAAGTTCTTGTTCTCCCTCTGTTTCACTTTACTTGGGCATTCTACAGTAGCTCAGTAGCTGTTGTGTTCTGCTGCTGAATGCGAGATTACGCTTCGAATTTCCATTTCTGACAATGATGCTTCATTGGTAATGGAAAGCAGAAGCACTGTTTTACCCAGGTTTATTGCATCTTTAAGAACATGAAGTGTTCATACTTAACCCAGAGCCCTGAACTACAATTTACATGATAGTTGCAGTGTATCTTTAAAATGTTGTTTCAATACTGCTTGCCGTATATGAATTCAGACTTAGTAAATTTATTTCATGGTAGTTTAGCATTAATTTTATTTTTTCTTTTGCATCATGTTCTCTTTTGATTTTTGTTTCTCTCCTTTCTGATACCAATATCTTGCATTCAGCAGCAGAACACAACAGCTACTGAGCTACTGTAGAATGCCAAGTAAGGTGAAACAGAGGGAGAACAAAAGCTTTCTAGCGGCAAACCAACTGTAGTTTTAATGTTACCAAGTTTGAAGTGTGACAAATCAACTTTACTTGATAAGAAGATAAACAAAGAAATGAAATCATACTTTCGTGATTGTGTATGTAAATGGGTTTTGTGTAAGTGTGCGTCAAGTTGCATTAAAAGGTCTCATAACAGAAGAAAAAAACAGTGTGATTTTAAAGTATAATGAAGTGTTTTTGGGAGGAACGTTGACCAAGTTGGCTAGTACTCATATCTGTTTCTGTTGCAGATATGAGGCCTTTGACTTTCATCAGGAATGCAAGAAGATGCGGTGGGACCGCCTCTCCATACTAATGGACAGAATTTCTCAGGACCAAGATTCTTATGGGTGAGCCATTAACGTGGCTTTTTTTGCATTTTTTTCTGTATTCTATCCATTGATTAAAATATTATTACGCCTCCCGTTGCTTCATCACAGGTACTTCATGATGCTTTACGATAGCTCAGCACCTAGGCTACAGACTGGGGTGTTTCGCACAAATTGTATTGACTGCTTGGACCGGACGAATGTTGTGCAGTCACTCCTTGCGAGGCGAAGCCTTGAACAACAGCTTCTGGTGGGCCTGTTTTTTATAGTGAACTATTTTTATATCTGATCATTAGGAGCTTAGTGCATGCAGTGCCACATTTGTCATTTTTTTTCTGAAGATGAACAACTTGTGTCTGTGATACTGCAAAAAGTTTTATGGGAAATGTGGAGTCATTTAGAAAATATTGCTCGGCAAGGTTTGATCAAACTAAGGAAATTGTTGTGGTGTTTTCGAGTCTGTTTTTCAGGGATGCAGTCAAGTATCTTCAATCTGTTGCTCGTCTAAACGTTTTTCAAGATATCTTAAAATACATCTGTAAAGGATTACACCAGAACAAGGGGGTGAATGAGAAGGAGGGGAAAACAAAAGCTGAGTACATAGATGTGTCATATAAGTTCTCATGTTAGACCCAGGTATATACAGGGTGCCCCTACTAACTTGACACAGATTTTAAAAATATGCCTGTGCACTTCATCTCTGCATGACCAAATGCATGTTGCCGACTATTCTGTGGAGTTCTCCACACAATATGTTTTGTGTTCTCATTGATTAATTTGGTTTGAGAGAATTGAAACTGGGCAGAAAGTTAAAATGAGAATGTTAAGTTTGCAAAATGGTCCAGTTGGGCAGTTTCAAGCTTCCTATTATTACATATTAGTGTTTTTCTGCTTCTTGCAGATACCCACAAAATGAAAAAAAAAGTTAACTCATGTCATGCCTGTTGTAGCCGGCGAGCAAGGCGACGCTGGACTCAGTTGGTGGCGAAGGTTTAATGTGATAAGCAAGCGGCTCGCATGCCAATATAAGTACAGGCACATGACGTAGCCTGTGACGTCAGTACGGCGCATCATACGTTGGCTACTACATCTCTTCCCCCTTTATTTAGCAGCATAGCCAAAACGTTCGGGAGGCTTTCGAATTCTTGTGCTTCGTCGCAATTCAGGTGGCGCGACGTTTTCTTGGGAGCTGGCGTCAGGCGCCTGCTGTGATGGCAGTTGCGTCACGCTGGCTCGGTCAGGTGGCGGAAGTCGTTGCTCTGGTGCAGGCCCGTCCGGCGGTGATGCGGTGTCGCTGTCGCTTTGTGACGGAGTGGAACCCGGCTGTGCCATGCGGGTTTGCTCAGGAATCCACACGTTTCTGGGAAGAGGAGCAAGGCATGTGTTAGGAACAATATCGTCCGCATGCAGAAAGCGCTCGTGGTCTTCGATTCGGACTATGTATGTTCCTTTGCTAACTCATCGCACAACTGTTCCTTCCAACCAACGTGGATCACTTGGTCGGTTTCCTCGCACACGAACGTTGTCGCCAACCTCGAACTCCCTCCATGAAGTATGGGTTTCCTGACCATGTCTTCGAGCTATATTTGCTTCGGCACGTTTCGCTAGCTCTGGATGCAAGATGCTCAGCCTCGTGCGGGGCCTCCATGAGAGAAACAGTTCGGCTGGCGTCTTACCGGTCGTCGAACACGGTGTGTTTCGGTAGGTGAACAGGAACTGGTCTACCCGATGTTGCATCGTCCGAGTCACTCCCGTGTTCTGCTCGTCCCGTAGCTGTTTGATGAAGCTTCGCTTGACGGTCTGGACAAGCCTCTCCGCCGTGCCATTTGAAGCTGGGTGGTAAGGTGGTGTTTTGGTGTGCTGCACTGCATTGGAGTTGAGAAAATTTGTGAATTCAGCAGACACAAATTGCGGCCCATTGTCAGTCACAATTCTCTCGGGAAGCCCAAATGCAGCAAAAACAGTGCGGAGTTTTTCAACTGTCACCTGTGCTGTAGTGGACTTCATGTGCAGAACATCCACCCACTTGGAGTGCACATCGACAAGCACTAAAAACCAGTCGTTCTTGTAGTAGGCAAAATCCAGGTGAACTCTCTGCCACCTGCAGGTTGGGGCATCCCCACGATAACATCGGCACGTGGGGCGCTGAGTTCTGCGTTAGTTGGCAAGTTGAACAACCTCTTACAGTTTCTTCAATGCGGTCGCACAACTTTGGCCACCACACATGGCTTCTTGATAGCATTTTCATGCGAGTGATGCCTGGATGCCCTTCATGCAAAAGCGATAAGACTTCATTCAGATTGTATCGCTTCAGGTATAACAACCCGAGTTCCCCATGTTATACAACCACAGTCTACCGACAGTTCGTCTTTCCGCGAGAAGAATGGGGCTACGTTGTCTTCTGACACGTACGATGGCCATCCATTCAAAACATACATCAGCACCTTAGACAAAACTGGGTCTTTTTGGGTTTCGTCACTGATCCTTTTCGCAGATAGTGGTACGGCTTCTACTGCTGAAAAGAAGTGAATGTAGTCGCTTTCGTCGGTGTCGTTCGGAAGCGGTAATCGCGATAACGCGTCCGCGTTTGCTACTTGGGCTCCCTTTCTGTACACCCATTTGTAGCGATATGCAGCTAGCACTAGCATCCAGCGCTGCATGCGTGCTGCTGCCATTTGCTGAATTGGCTTTGTTTGCCCCAGCAGTCCCTCCAGGGGAAGGTGATCGGAATAAATGGTGAATTCACGGCCGTAAAGATACTTGTGAAACCGTTTGATTCCGAAAATCACAGCCAACGCTTCCTTTTCTATGTGTGCGTAGCCACTTTCGGCCTTGCTCAAAGTGCGTGACGCATAAGCTATCGGCCTTTCTTCCCCGTTCACGACATGAAACAACACTGCGCCAACCCCGTAAGGAGAGGCGTCGCAGACTAATCCAAGAGGCTTCTTTGGGTCATATAATGTTAGCACGCTCGCTTGCGTAAGGAGGCTCTTACTCTTCGCGAAGGCTTTTTCTTCTTTTGCGAACCAGACCCACTTCTTATCCTTCTGAAGCAGTGCATACAAAGGCTTTAGCCTCGAAGACATGCTTGGCATGAACTTGGAGTAAAAAGTTATCATGCTGAGGTACGCTTTAAGCTCACTGATGTTCTTAGGTGTGGGTGCTTCCCTTATGGCTTCAACCTTCTCGACGCACGGGTGCACACCATTTTCGTCAATGATATGCCCAAGATATTTGACAGAATTCAAGAAAAACTTGCATTTTTCCTTTCTCACTTTTACGCCGTGGTCCCTGAAAACCTGCAGGACTGCTTCCACCCGGGCCAGGCATTCGGTATGCGATGCTCCCGTGATGAGGACGTCGTCGAGGTAGCATACCACTCCCGGTAGTCCTTTCAACAGCTCGTTCATGATTGCCTGGAAAACTGCAGGTGCACTTGAGATTCCGTACGGCATTCGAACATACTGGAACAACCCCATGTGAGAGTTTATAGTCAGCAAAGGTCGCGAGTCAGGGTGCACCTCGATTTGCTGATATGCCGTCGAAAGGTCCAGAACGGTGAAAACCTTGCCCCCAGCCAGTGTCGTGAACAAATCCTCCACCGCGGGCAGTGGGTAATGGTCGGTCTTCACACATGGATTCACCGTCAATTTATAGTCTCCACACAATCGTACTGTGCCGTCTGGCTTGTGAACAGCTACCAGCGGCGTGGCCCAGTCGCTGCTGGTTACGGGCACCAGTACGCCCTCTTTTTGCAACTTGCCTAGCTCATGCTCGACAGGTTCACGAATGGCATACGGCACAGACAGCGCCTTGCAAAAGACTGGCATGCTTCCTTCCTTAAGCACCAGTTTTGCTCGGTAACCCTTTATCAACCCTAAACCAGGTGAAAAAACGCTGGCATACCTTGACAGGATGCTGTCGACAGACGGTTGTGCGTGCACCTCGTGAATGCTGTTTAGGTCCATTCCGAGGTTCGCAATCCAGTCGCGGCCTAGGAGTGCTGGCTTCTCTCCTGGTACCACGATGATTGGCAGGACTTTCTGCTGTCCCTTATAATCGACCAAAACCTCCGCTTGGCCTTTCACTTGTAGCGTCGCTCCGCCGTAAGTCTTGAGCTTCATCTCGCACTTCGCAAGCTGCGGCGGCTGCTTTAGCTGCCGGTAAATGCATTCCGGAACGAGTGATACGGCTGCGCCCGTATCTACTTGCATCTTCACAAGCTGGCCGGCTATCTGTACTTCAACTTGATATGGTTGTTCCGTGCCCACCAGATACACACCGTGCAGCAGCAGCTCTGTGCTTCCGCTCGCTTCGTCACTCACGTTCTGGACGGTGCCAGGCGCCGGTTGCTTGCATCTGCACATGCGCGCCAAATGTCCCACGCGCTTGCAAAGATGGCATTTGAATTTACGATAACGGCAGCTACGGGCGTCATGCTCTTGACCGCATCGATAGCAGCTTTGCATTGAACTGTTCTTCGGCTTGCTGGCAAACTCCGGTTCCTTCCCCGTCTTCTTTAGAGCGTGAATGTCGGCATCCGTATTCGCAGTTGGTCGGAATCCCCTCGACTCCCGCTCCGCTAGCTCAACGCTCTTAGCAAAAACGCAGGCCGATTCGAACGTCAGTTCCTTCCTCTTCAGTAAACCCGTCTGAATGGTGGAATTCCGTAACCCAGCGACGAACCGGTCCCGTAAAGCGTCGTCGAGAAACGTACCGTAGTTGCACTTGGCTGCCATGTGCTTCAGCGTGACTGCAAATGCCGCGACGGACTCCCCTTCTCCTTGGTACCTCCTGTTGAATTTGAAACACTCCGCAATGACTTGACTTGAAGGCTCGTAGTGGCCACTCAGCACTTTCACCAAGTCCTCGAACGTCTTCTCTTGAGGTTTTGCAGGTAGAAGAAGGTCCTTGAGCGTCTTGTACGCTTTCTTTCCTATGGCAGAGATGAAGGCTGACTTTTTAAGTTCTTTGTCTTGTACGCCGGCTACTTTGCAATAGTGCCCAAACCGTTCTACATACGATGCGAAATCTTCGTCTCCTTCTTTTATGAAGGCGTCAAATTCCCACGTCTTCGCCATACCTTGCCTTTCGCCTTCCAGCTGTCGTTGCTCACAGGATCCGCCCCCGTCGTTCGGTGCAGCCTATCCCATCCTCGTCGCCATCTGTTGTAGCCGGCGAGCAAGGCGACGCTGGACTCAGTTGGCGGCGAAGGTTTAATGTGATAAGCAAGCGGCTCGCATGCCAATATAAGTACAGGCACATGACGTAGCCAGTGACGTCAGTACGGCGCGTCATACGTTGGCTACTACAATGCCCACTTGTGTGCCATAGTTGCAGTGCTCTCTCTATTCTACCTGCAACTGATAACAGTGTTCAGCCACGTGTACTGGGGCTCAAAAGTTGGTAAGATAGCGACAATGGTGAGACTGTGCAACAATGGACTTGTCGATAGTGCCTGCACTAATGATAACCACTGCATCTGCTTCACACTGTCATTAAATGTGGCCAGGGAAGGATATCGTTTGTACGTGGAATATCAGGGAGCACAGCAATATTGTCTGTATGTGGGTGTGTCATTTATTGTGTTTTTTTTTCAGGCATGTGCTGTGTTTCCGGAAAGCCCGAATACTTACTAGGAGACAGAAAGTTTAAAATGGTCTAAGCGGGCACTTAGCAAACAAATTTGCAACTTTCAAATTTAAATTTTTGTCCAGCTTAATTGCTTTAGAAGTTAATTTATCAATGTTGCCTAATTGACCTTTTAATCAGAACACTAGGAATAATGTAACTTACACCATGCAGTAGTTGGCAACATACATTTGGTAGCATCATTGTAAAGTACAATTATAATTTGTTTTGCCATTGGAAATGTTCGGGCTATCAAAGCTACACTGTTTTTGCTGTTGCTGTTAAACAAGGTATCTAATCTGAAGGTACGAATTGTATTTAATGACAATAAGATATTTTGGCAAGGTGCTGGTTTGAAAATATGAATGGCTCGTGCAGCACTGCTCTTATTTGCCCTTCATAAAGACAAGTTTACTTTGTAAGGCTTCATCATAATGTGTTGAAGCATACCACTTGCTGCCTACATCTCATATAGCAAGTTTGCTTGAAAGTTGAACCCCCTTGTAAAAGACTGATGTAAGATAAATGGGTATAAAAAACACCACTGTGCCTTTATTAAAACAGGGGTTGATAAGAAAATGCCTACGCACCCTCCTCATAAAGACAGCTCAGATAAAAGACAAGAATTGCTCTCTGGTGTATATGTCTCTTACAAAAAGGCTCAACTGTATAAGAAACTACATTGTGGTTCCCTTTAGACTTCATTTGTATCCAGGTTCAGCTATACAGTTATTTCATACACTCATTTCTCTTGTACTCGTTACTGTGCCATGGGAAATGGTCAATTTGATTAGTAGCTTTTCAACACACTGGCAAATATTGACTTTAAGGTTTCTTTATAGGAAACCACTAGATGAAGAGCATGCTTCTATCTTTTGTAAGCTTTGTCATTTTTTAGGACATTGGTGAACCCTCAAGTTCAAGGATTTCTAGGCCAGGCATGATGTAGACTGGCTAGTGCCTCTCGCACTTTCTGAGTCAGGTGCAAAGTATGCTAATTATCCGACTTGACTGCATGATATATTTAAATTTTAGAATCCCTTGGGACTTGGCGAAGTCTGTTGGTTTGCCAACTTTTCTACTCTCGTGGTTTTACTGTTTTACTTCTGCAGGGATGTGGAATAGAAAATAGTGAGACTGCGTTGAATATCAGTTAAATAATGCCATGCAGTAATCAGATATTACGTATCTTTTTAATAATATGCAGCCTTGTATGCCAATAAGGAACTTCTAAGCCACCCACTGCTTATTGGCAAGCAAGGCATTTCTCTCTTTTTCACAACCCTCTGCATTGACACTCCTTGCCACAAACATTTATATCCAGCAGGCATTTCCATCATCGAGTTGGCATGCTTTTCTAGTTGACTTTCAGTTACTCAATGCATTGTGGTTTGACATCTGATTTTATCCACACAAGTACGTAGTGCGATACTTTCTACAGTGCAGCGATAAAATCAATTGATGTCATAGTTTATGGTGCCCTTGTTATATCTAGATTATATCAAGTAAACATACTGAAATTTAATTGGAATTCAATAAAGTGGGCTCTCCAAGTGTATTTATGTACCATGCTCATATAAATAACTTGTTTTGCATCACTGTGGTCACTGTGGTAAAAGGTACTCTTTGGCTTTCCTTCTATATTTGTGTGTAATTGATAATTTGAAGGGTTTGAGAACTATATTGGAAAAATATCTAGTTGGTAAATATAGTTAATTCAGTATTTAAAAGTTCAAAATAATCCCACGCACCTGCTGACTATTATTAGAATACTGTATGTGCAATGTGCAAAAAATCCTGCTAGACAAGTGGTGTTATTCTATCAGGTAATGAATAACGTGGCCAACATAGTGCCAAGGCAGATTAGATGGTTCCAGTGCCTGACAAGTACGCACAGCTGCCTATAGAGATTCCCTTGGCACTACTTACATTAAATACCATATATTCTTGCATATAACTTATTCCTGCAAATAATGTCACAATTCCAACTAGAAATACCAGAAAAATACACTAAAAAAAACTCATGTTGCCATGATAGCATCTGTGCATTATCATGAGCAGTGCAGTGAAGCCAACTTATGCACTGAAAATTCATTATTTTTTAAAAGTTGTATATCGAATTATCTGATATATCAAATTCCCGTCCCCCGTCGTCCCCCACCACCCCGAGTTTGATATATGTGGCTTCTGCTGTACTTCTAAAATTAAATCATTGATTGCCAGCCTGCTACTTCGGTGTATTCAGAAAAAAAAATGACTGAGAGGAGAATTACTTGCACTTTCCTTGTCTACGCAGTGAAACCAAAAACCTAAATGAAGTTCGCACTGCGTACTTGATGCATGTTCCTCGAGCTGTGTTGTAGTCAGCTACGTTTGTCGGCTTTATACCTTGGAGCTTGACTTGTCACCCCCACCTATAGTTGCTTAAAAATTTAATACTGTGTAAAGCAAGTTATATAAAGAAACTGCTATAAACTACGTACTTATAAGTAAATATAGGTGCATTATTGGCTGCTGCAGCATTTTTAAAAATCTTGATGTAATGTGGGTGCCATGTGTGGAAAATGCTGCGACTTCTATTGAAGGTATTTTTTAACAGGCAGGATTGGCATTGTTCGTACTGGTTTATTCTTAAAACATGGCTCCTTTCCCTCTAGCGAATGGGTATCCTTGCGCCTGGAGAAACCATAAAGCAGCACCCTGGTTTTGAAGCCCTCTACAAGAACGGTATAAAAGAAAAGCTAGCTTCGCTGTGCTTTGTAACTCGCTGCACTACTAATTTATCTGTAATATTGCAGTCTGGGCAGACAATGGCGATTTCTGCAGCATCCAGTATGCAGGCACCGGAGCCCTCAAGACTGACTATACAAGGCAAGCCCGACTATATTGCTCTAGCTGGGGTTAAAATAGCTTGTCATACTTTGGTGGTACATGATGAAGTAACGAATACATATTGGGAGAGTAGAAAAAAAAGAAAACACCAAAGGCTGTGACACTTCACCTTGGAGAGTAAAATAATCGTGTTTTCAGGAGTGGTACTATCAGCTTTGACTACAAGAAATAAAAAGCAAGTCTTTGTGCTCATCTTATCAATGAACACTTTTTATTTAGATTACACTGTGCAAGCATTTTATGTAAGGAAGTCGTATGACTCTGCATGTATAAAATCTGGATTACAAACTATCTGGGATTCACCATGTTTCGTTCAAGGACTGGGAAACGCACCATCTTTGGAGCAATGAAAGATGGCTACAACTCTGGTGTCCGCTACATCAAGAACAATTTCTATGATGGCTTCAGGCAGGCAAGTTCTGTATTTTGCTTACTCGTTATCTCTCTCTCTTTCACTGGAAGCATTTCTTTGCTGCACCATATACTATGGTAAATGTGAAATTCCTTGCATTGCAGGATGCCATTGATCTATTCCTTGGAAACTACCGGGTCCAAGAAGGTGAAGGGGCAACTGTTTCTTGTCCACTTAAGGTTCACAGGGAAGGAAAGTACTGGCTGGTAAGTTGGAAGTAATGCTTGTGATTAAACCAACATTAAGTAACCCCTTGTCTAGCTCCACTTGAAAAGATTCCTGAAGCCATTTTTGTTTTGGATATCCCATTTAATTTTCCATTTTTCTCACCATATTGTCATTGGCTTGGAGATGACTTGCGTGATGCCATGCCATCGTTATCAGTGAGATGGGTCATCCTGTTTAGAGCAAATTGTAAAAGCTTAAAGCAAAATATTGACCTTTATAAGGGCCCTGTAACACTTTTACAGGTAACCATCAAATGGTTTCATTAACCAAATTAATTGGCTCTGGAATTGGCTGCTGGAAAATTTTTTAAAATCTGTCTATTATGGTCATACTAGTTACTATGATTGCCTTCTCTCCTCTCTCGTTCGGACGAGTGGGCTGGAAGCTAAGTATAGAGGGATAGCATGGGGGAAAAGAGTTACTTCACGCGTGTGTCATGACTCATGACCTTGGACACTTATTAATATTATTTTTCTTCAAATGTGCGGCTTACTTGGTGGAATCACAATAGTGTGTGTGAGCACTTGACAGCTTCCCATGGGGGCCTCTGTGACTATGCAGCTCACGATGCTCAAACTATCCAATGGTCGTGAATTGGGGTAGATGGTGCGATCATTAGGGTATGTGGCATCATTTGTAGAAAGGAGGGGATGATTTTCAGCTGACGTTGAAAATTTTAAATTCCTGGCCACGTTCTATGCTACGATGTTTGGCTCACGTGTTTTCAGGAGCCTAGGCTATTGATCGACAGCTTTTTCTGGCCATGCTGAAAAAGTGTTGCTGGGCCTCTTCAAGAGCAATGTTGCATTAGGTTAGTTGGGTACATTATTCTTGTAGAATAGAAAGGTTGTGAGCAGAAACTTAGTTTGACATGAGGGGCACAATAACAAGATGTCATCGAAGGCTAAGATAATATCTTGATGTTCACTTCAAATCGTAATGTATATTGGCAATTATTATAACGAAGGTATAGGTAATTATCTGTTTGGTACTCTTTACAGAGTAAGTTTGATGCAATATCTGTGATTTTACTGTTATTTTCATACATTTTTGTATGTTTTTGACCATATCCAGACCCATCAACATTTGTTGCGGACCCCCTTTCTTTTTTTGCTATACAAATGTTTGTCTGACAGAAAGAAGTACCAACTGCACATTTAAATACATCAACATAGGGTTCATCTATGTTAAAGGACCCCCAACAGCGAAATTTCTTTTTTGCTTTTTTACTGTAATTTCTAGCTTTGTGTCTGGCAATGCCGAAATTGAATTGTGACTGCTCAAATGTATTGTATGATTAATGCTGCTGTAATTATTTGTGACCAATTTCGCGTCACTTCCAAACCCTTGCCTAAAATTGTAAGAAACTAGGTCCCCACGGTGTGGGAGCACCTGAGACCATGTGCGCTCAAGCTTCAATGACACGCAATACGCATTTTTCAAAATGTGGGACATGCGTGCGATGGAGAACGAAACGCTAAGGATGCTTCAAGCTTGTGCTCCACTGGCAAGGGAAAAGCATTCTTGGCATAAGCTGCCAGAACCGTCTTGAGAGCCACTCGACAATAGAGCAAATGGTGAGGAACAATAAGCTCCATTAGGCGCCAGTTATGGTCATGGTTTTGAGTGCGCCCCATCTATGTGGAGTGACGTCGACAGCACTCACTTTTTTAAACGTCACTTTGTGAAATGTCGCTAGGCACCTCTGTCTACGTAATACTAATGGCGATGTCTCAAGTTGCTGAAAACTCAGATGAGCACTTGCACTTAATTTAAAACCAAAATAAAATATCTTATAGGTAACGTCTATGGGGCAGAAGTGCTCATGCGTGCAGAACTATTAAACAAAAGCATCTAGCATTTCCGAAATTGGTGTCAGGGGTCTTTTAACTAAATGTACGTGTGTGAAAGCCTTGCCAACTTCATTTCCTGTTTTTCTTCTTTTTTGCAGCTACCATGCTTTATGATGTTTGCCTTTGCTTGCTGCCTTTATTGTCTCTGCTTCTTGGGAGGTAAGCAACTGGAGAAAACATAGTAGCAAAATAAATTTTCGTCATAAAACCGTTAAGAAATTTTTATGGTTGCTACAACAATGTAGAAATTGTTTTAATAAATCCAGACCTTTACTCAATTAAGTAGTTTGCAAATAATACTTCACATTAACATGCACTGTCAGATCACAAGTGAAAGAGGAATGTGCCCACTTCTCTCACGTTTCTATTCCTGCTTGCATGCCATAGGTGGTACTCAAATTTTTTGGCCATTTATTTGAAATATAATAGGTTTAGAGGGTGGAGTTAGAGAAGAAAAAAAAAATAACAGAGCTGTGAAAGCAGGTGCAACCATTTTTCTTCAAATATTACGTAGTATGTTCAGAAAGTCACCACCTCTTCATAGTTTCGAAACTTTAAAGCTTCTATATTTATTTAATGAGAAGTAGTGGGCAGAGACCGAACTTTCAACCTTTGAATGACACTTCCACGTTTAAATGCACATGTATACCACATAAAGTGGATGGGGGACTATCCACCATGGTAGCTCAGTTGCTAGAGCATCATACACATAATTCAAAAGCCGCAGGTTCGGTCCCCGCCCTGTGGCCAGTTATTTTTTCTTACACTTTTTTTATGCACATTTTCATTACATTTACTTCTAATAACATCTCCTATACTTTCTTTGACATTATTGTCTGTTACTTTTTGATTAATATTGTGTCTAAGAAAGGAAAATGAGCCCTTAGAGTTTCCACTTCTTTCCTATATTTGAGCGAAACAAATGATCATGAACGAAAGGTATAATAGAACATTTCCTGCTACTAATGAGGGTCAGTGAGCAGTACAACTTTTGTGGTCTTGTCTTCCAATGTGTTCTTTTTCTGGGCCCTCCTGATGGTAAAATATGGTATTCAGATTCATCATTTTCATCTTATTTCAAAATAATAATTCTTTGATATACATACATTCTTTTGTGTGTGCTGTAAATCAGGCTTGTCTCGAAAAAATGCTCACACGTTTTGTGGCTGTTCAGCAGGATTGGAGCACTCTGTGCCATTCTCATGAGGAAATTTTAGTTCGTAGCAATGACCATGCAGGATTTCAGACTGGATTTAGCAGTAAATGCTTATATGGTTGTTAGAAATGCTATTCACTGGATGTCAGTATTACAATATATGAGGAATATGTTTTTTGATTCTTTTAAGTGTTATAAAAATGTAACTGCTTGCAGTTGTGGCTTTTAGCTTCATATATCATTCAGTTGGCATAGAGCAAGAGTGCTTCCTCTAAAGCCAGTGTTTGCTTCTTTGTAGATACAGCCAAATATATATGTATTGTCTTTATTTCTTGGTGCTATTTGAATTGCGCGCGTTTTATATTCCTGTCACATGAGCACTCAAGTTTTTAGAGCATGAAGACTTCTTCTGAAAAAAAAAAAATGTTTTGCTCGCAGACACATAGACATTGATCTCATCAGAAGCGATCATTTCTGGAAACTTGCTTGCGTGCTTGAAAAACAAATAGTTTGAGAATGCTCAGCAGGGGCCACCCCTCACAATCACTAGGTGGGCTCCTCATTACAATTGCCCATTGGCGACTCGCGCAACTCAGGCTCTGTCAACCGGGGCCTTCTGGCTCGCCAGGTCAGAGCAGCCCAGCAAGGCTGCCTCCCAGTCCTCCTGGATGGGGTTTGGTTTTGGGGCGAGGTTTGGGGTTTACTGGCATGCCCACACCATGTGGGAAATGTCCCAAAGACGTTTCCGCACAGTGCGGACACTTTCCTCTACAGGCAAGATCAAAGTGCTTTGAAACTGCCAGGCACAGCAGTTTTTCAATGTAAAGACGATAGAGTGTGCACTCCTCTACCTTTGTGAAGCCCTTACAAAGCTTAGGATAAATTGCATGGTGAAATTGGTATAATTGAGTTATCTCTCGAAAAGTGAATTCCAGATTGGGTTCGGGAGAAGGGTCGAAAGGGTTGCCCGGAGAGTGAGCGCCCAGGCAGCAGCGTCAGCCGTTTCATTGCCTTTGAGGCTTTGACGACTGTGAAAGAGTAGCCTCGAAACCAGTGGACACCAACAACTATGAACTGTTTAAAGAAAATCTTCTAGTATTTATTTCTGTCACCTGCATTTATCATAAAAAGAAGCGTTTATCATAAAAAGAAGTTTCTTATCTCGTAAGAAATGTAATAAACTCTTAAAAGCAGGTCGTACGAGTTGAGCATGAAACATGAGGACACGTTGAACGTACGGACCTGTGAAGCATGGCATCATAACATGTAGGGTTAACGCCGGTGATTGAACAACCCTGGGCCCACGCAAAAGGCAATGGCTACAGTGATCAGAGAGGGGCTGTTTGACATTATTCATCGAGATACATTAGTGCACAAGTAGTGTACAAATGAAAAGGTATGAAATGTTGTAACAACATGACTGTTTATGTGGATGCTTATGCCACTATGGGAATATGTAGCAAGACATCTTAGAATATGATTGGAATCTTCACCATAGATTGGAGCATGCGGGTGTTCCCGCATGCGCAGGAGAGGGCACAGGCTTTTATGAAGAGTGCTGTCCAATGGACACAGCAGTGCGGGTGAGGACAGGATGGCATTCACATCGCGAAATTCGACGATTCAGAAACAGCAACACATTAGCTCATATCCGACAGCTAAATGTGCTGAACCAGCCACAATTCATTGCCTGCGTTTTCCATGTGTTTGCTTCCATGAAAGAATATCTGAAAGGAAAGCGGTTCTATTTTGCTGACGAACTCAATGATGCTTTGAAGGACTGGGTCTCATCACAGCTACAGGAATTCTGAGAACAAAGAATCTTTTGGCCCGTTCATCAAAGGGCGCATAGTGTTTACATTGAATAAAATCTTCTCTTGTACACACAGTGTCGTTTCGTACCTTTTTGTTTGAACACCCCTTGTATTCAGACAGGTTCTCTTTTGAACTTAGCACCACGCTTTCAGTTGAGTGTTAGAAAAAAAAAAACTAAAATGTGGTTGTTAGTGCCATGTGCCTGCAAGGCAACACCTCTTCGTTGAAAGGTCTTTCAACATTGTAAAAAATTGCTTATTTAAAAGAGTTTTTGTGTGCTCGTGTGACAGGGGTATTAATGGCTTTGGAAGCATTCAAGTTGTAGGTTTTCCCTCCTTTTCTTAGTTATCATCACACCTCACAATAGAGGCTTTGCATCAGATAATCTTGTCAGTTGCAGTGACACTGCTTTTGGTGCCATGCAAAATCACTACTGCTTGATGAGCACTTGCCAAATGTCAGTAGTTCCAATTGAAGTAGCGTGCCTGATGTATTGGGCATAATAATGTAGTCAATTCAAACTTCACTTTGCTGTGGGCACTTTTCTATTGTGTCATTTCATTGAATATTTTCAGACAGCTTTTTATCTATAAAAAGTTTTTTTTTGCTCTTTCTGCTTGGTGTTCTCAACAGCTTGTGGAAACTGTATATTTAATAATGTGTCATGATATTTGCAAAAATTTATGAGAATATGTGGTGAATATGTGCTGACTCATTTTCTTCTTCTGTTTGCTTTGCAGTTTACACAAAAGAGTACTTCCTGTACTTTTTGTTCTGGGTGGCAATGACTATCCTGACTTTTATGGCCGTAGTGTACTATGGCACTGAGTTTGTGGACTATCCAAAGCTGCGTGAGCTTTCACCTAGCAGAAGGTCAGACTAGCCTGCTTGCATGCACCTGTCAGAATGTTGTTATACTTTCTAAATCTCTGGCTAGTAGAAGTCTTGTTTAACAGTTTTGCTGGCGCTAGGAGACTGACAATTGCAGCTGTGTACTGTGAGATAAGTGCACATTTCATGTCAAGAATAGGCAATATGCAAGCCTTTCCAAGTTGTTATTTTTTTATTTGACTTGTTATCTCTTGAAAACTCTTGTCGAAGACTTCTTAGCATGTATGGGACTAAATAAAAGATATAACTAACATTACTTACCTGAGGTATGCGTTTTGCCTGGGTTAGTAGCGAAGACACACAGGTATTTTGCCCATTGTATCTGCCAACTATCTCGCTTTGCCTTGTATGACGCATCTCTCGAGGCAACTTTTCATGTGTAGTCCTCATTGCCCTTACTGTGACTGCTGCTCTCTCTTTGGCTGCCATGCTTTTGCTTCGTGAATGTCTTCTATTAGCAAATATCATTGAGTATGACAAGAAAGGCGCTTTGCTTGCTCTAGACTCTGTGCACTAAACTATGTGTTTATACCGATTAAGCTCGTAGCCTGACGTCTCTCACACATTAAGCACTTGTTCTGGGCCAAAAAACCTGCCCTGGAGAAAATAGCCATTAAAGATGAGACTTCTCTGTATTTCACCTGCCTGTGAATCCACGGCCTAAATATGTCATAGTTTCAAAAGGCCCTTTTCATACTGGTTTGTCTTGTTGCCATTATTCCAACATTGTTTTCTGCTCCCAGCTTCCCTCGTTCTTTTTGTGTGTTTGCTCTATACACAGCATGCATAATCTTTTGCATCATTTCCGACTTGTTTCTTGATATTTACGGCTAGATGTGTAGTCAGAATGCTGGCAGCTTCAATTTTCGTTGTTTGCATCCTGAGTGCATGAGCTTCTTTTATCCTTTCTTATTTTAATCTGTGTGTTTTGGTGTACATGCATGCATTCTCTTAGTGCTGATTCAATTGCATGATACTATGCTATGGTGCCGGATAGTCTCACTTACTTTATATAACTCCTAACCTAGTTATTTTTTCTTCTTCATGGTGATTTCACCAGGCGCTCAGTGACTGCGCTTGTTTGCTTCTGCATTTTTACTTCCTTGCTGTCGCATTGTCACCGTGCTATAGCTCTTCATTTATGGCTGCCACTCGTATCTGGGACACTGACTCGATTGGTGGAAGCTGGTCCCTGATCTTGTGAATGGCAGATACACCATTGGCAGAACTTTCATAACTTGCACTTGTAAAGCTACCATATTTACGTGCATTATTAATAGGTGCGCTCACATAATAGGCGCACCCCCAGTTCAGTCGCAAGTAATCAGATTTTTTTTTTTTAATTTCCGCGCACCCCGAACTTGGCCGTGATCAGCATAGTTCTATGCCGTATTTGCACGGTTAAAATTGGATGCCCGTTCACGTTAACTGAAGTGAGGAAGAATAAAAGAAAAAAAAAATTGCCCGCAGCTTCCCTCGGGGGAACACTGAGGAGGATGCGGACCATATAATTGGTTAACGGGGTGTTAAAGTGCGACTTACTTGGGTCGATGGCTAAATTGGTTAACGTGGTTGTGAAATGGGGTGTTAAATTGCGACTTACTTGGGTCGATGGCTAAATTGGTTAACGTGGTTGTAGGAGGGGGTGTTAAATGAGTGAACACGTACACACGTATGCGAAAGGGCGGCGCTGGTCGAAGGGACGTCGATCATTGTGTTTGTGGATTCGTTGGAATTCATTTCACCGCGACCTTGGACGTCGACACGCCGTACAAACCAACCGACGAGCGGCAACTGAGCGAGCGAGCGCCGACCTTGAGTATATATACAGCACGACGGCGCATGCACTGTCAGCTGTTGAATGTTCTCGAAGTGCGACGCCACATGCGCGTCCACTGGAGAATCAGGAGAATTGTAGATGTCAAACGCGGTGTGTAGAGGAGGAAGGGTGCACAGATGGTGGAGGAGTGAAGCGCGCGCGGTGTGTAGAGGAGGAAGGGATGCACAGATGGTGGAAGAGTGGGCGACGGCGCGACGGCGCATGCGCGCGCGTCAGCTGTCGAATGTTTGAGAAGCGGTGCGGACGGCGCGGACGGCGCGGACGGCGCACTACAAGGCGCGAGTATAAGATGCTCCGCATCTAAAAGATTGCGACAGCACTGCACCAGCTGGGCGGGCTCGCCGAGTGAGGAAGAAGGGCGGTTGCTTGGGTGTCAGAACGTGGCCTCGGAGATGAACCGGCAGTGCACCGTTCCTCCGGCCGTCTCATTCGCACGCAGAGCGTGTAATCGGAGAAAGTGGAATAACTACTCCCACCGCCACATCGCGCACTCCCCATGGCTCACTTATCTTGACGCGGATACTTGCGGAGGGCGAAAGCTTGGAAATCGCAGCCTCTGTGCGATGCGTAATAGAAAATTGCAGCACACATGTACGGACTAAAGGCAAAATGCATAGTAGAACGATTGGGCCATCACCCCTTCGATTCTGATGTATACTTAGGACTGCAAGGAGAGGCATATCACGACAAGGCCATTCGCTGATGCCATAAGTTTCGTTTTGCTACGCGCTTATAATTTTCTCTCGGGGACGGTTTGTAGGAAAAGGCGCATTCAAAATGTACACGAATGCTCATAGGTCACTTTGCGTATTCTACTGTGGCTGTTTTAGTTTTAATTTTTTTTTTCTACAAACCATTCAGAGCTTGTGTCTATTCTGTCTGCGTTTTACGCTCTAAAAACCGTCCTTGATGCCCGATTCGCTACAGTGCTGATTTTTTTTATCTGGGTAGTCATGCATTGTTAAAAAAAAACTAATGCATGTGATTTTTGTTTGCAGATTTGCGCGGTGGCCTATTTTCATTCTGCAAATATTGTATGCATGTTCTAAATCTGAAATTGCATGTTTTTTGTTTTTTTTTTGTGATCAAATAGTTCTGCAAGTTTTTGTGTGTACCATTGGTATCTGGCATTTACTTTGCCGCTTCAGCATAGGACGAAGGAAGAATGAGGCGTACTTCATACGGTGTTCTATGTACAGAAGGGCCCACTGTTAGAGGGAACACTGAAGCACGTCTCGTCTTCTCGGCGCCACCGCGGTTGGCTGCGTCAACTATTTTCACGCAGGAGCAGGATGCCCCTTGACTGCGTGCTTATAATGTGTCTCAAACAGATACCAATGCAAACACGGTTGATGTGACTGAAATGACTGAAATCACACGCCGGGCCAGGCAGATGAGCGCCGCTCGATCAATAGGGAAGCACCGCCATTTCGCAGTGCCTTCAGGAGGCGACGGAATAAAGTTTCTCCGCTGAGTGACGTGTTGAATAGGACAGTCGTGGCGATGGTGCGCCTACGGCTAATCTCGGAGGCCATGGTCGGAGTAACCTTTGCACTGGCGCCGGCGTGGCTCCGGCTGCTAGCCCAGCTGCGTGCTCCACAAGAAGTGTGCGATCGCGTCCTCATTAAGTGCGCATTGAGTTTTCTGCCTAGAAAAGCGTCGTCGCTATCGCGTTTGCTATCTCGTCCGCAAATTTAAAAGCTTCTTGGCTTTTCGACGTGAGATTTCGCCTTTGCTGCCACTACGTGGACTTGCACAAGCTCGGCAGATTTATGTCGTCATTGATTTTCTGGTCGTGAATCTAAACATCGTATCATGCGTGCTGCTCTTGGATCAGTTGCTGAAGTGCAATCTTTTCGACGCTAAATCTTCATGTTGTCTTGTACAAACTTACTGCGACAACATGCCGAATTGTTGACTAGCTAGGCCTAATCACTGCTGGTGCTTTTTGGTGGTGGTTGGGAGTGGTTGAAGTTGCGGTTTTGTGCAGAATCAAACTCTTTTCAGTGGCTCTACTTAAAGAAAAGGGGGCTTAGGTAGTGCTTGTAACACTCGAATGGTGGTTTGTGATTCGAATATAATCTCTTGGCTATGGGGTGTGAGCCCGTGAAATCGAACGAACGGTACCGTTCAGCGGACAAAATTTTGGTAGTGATAATGTGCATAATCAAGATGGCCTGAAATATTACCGGCAAATATATGCGCTGGTGCTTTTTTTCTTCGTTGTTTCTTTTCTCTTTCCTTCTCGTTCACTTTGTTGGTAACGTGGGTCTTTCTATGTTGATTTTTGAAAAGTAGAATGCACACCGCGTTGTGTACCTCGATTCTCTGACAGGCGAGACTGCATGCTCAACATGTTTTAGGCTAGTGTAGCCTATGAAGAAGGTTGTTACAGCCGTAGTGTAGATATTCGTGACTTTGGCGATGCACGTTATCGACGGTCTATGCTGTAGTCAGAAATTTTACTTGGAGCTGGATTTCCTGGAAGAAAGTGCACCTATTATGCAAGTGAACACGGTATTCTTTATAAAAATGATTTATTTATCCTGAAACACCATCACCACTATCAATTCGGTCTGAGTTAATTTTTTTAATGTTTGCCTCTAGTAAACTATTATGCCATAATTCAGATCATAATTTGGCACCTCTGAAGCTTTTGGTTGAAGTAAGGTCAAGTTATTTAACCCTATTACCATCACAAACATTGCTTAACCTCTGTGTTGGACAAAATCGTGTGGTGTCATCTGCTCACTCTAGTGATATTGTCATTGAGAGTTTTTGGATGAGAAGTACCTTTTACCCGGTCCTGCTTCCCCATAGACCTTCACCTAAAGTGTACTCTACAAATTCACGTGCAAGCCCATTGTGTTGGGCTTGAAAGCATACTTGCTGCACTGTGTTATCAGTAAGCTTATAAGAAGCATGTCCTGGGTGATATTGATCTCCTCATGGCCACATCTTGATAAAATTCTCCGACTTATCACAATATGATTGTATAATACTGTTACACAAATTAAGGTAACTTAATGGGGGGGTTTTAATGGGCCCTGAGTCCGCGATCACAGTATAATGATGATGATCACTGCCATGGCTCGTACCCACTCAGGGGGATCGCAGTGGAGGCAACGTCGTCTTCCTTCTC